TGGGTGGGTGGGTGAGTGCTCCGGCGGGCCGCCGGGGCCTCCGGTCGCGCGGCGCACGGGCTCTTTGCCCTCCCCACCGGCTTGTGGGGGGGGTCTTCCTGGGGGGGGGGCCGGGTCAGATCCCGCTAGCTGGGGAGATAGCTGCTCCCCGTCGTCCCCTCTCCCCGCGGAACACGGCGGAGGAGCGAAGCCCCAGCGCGCGATGTGTCCAACGCCAGCGGTCTAAGGCCCAGGTCATGTGGGCTCCGGGTCAGCTGGTGGATGCGCCCCGGCGTGACCTGGCGCGGCTCTGACTCGGCGTTTTCCCTTCCCGGGGCGCGCGCGCGCGGGGGAGAGGCCCACGAAAGAAACCCGGGTCCGGCCTGGGCGCCCCCCCCGAAGAAAGCGGCAACAGGGGGCGCCGAGGCAGGCGAGGGCCCTTCCCGCCGGTGTCTCATCTGGGACCGTGTATTGTTTGTGGAAGGCCGTATCTTGGGGGGATTAAATATGTTGGGGATTTTGCTGGGCAGGGGGGGAGGGGAGGCCCCGTCTTCCGAGAGGAGGCCCGATCAGGTGTGAGCTGGCGCGCTGGCGCGCTCGGTCAGCCAAGGCAACCTCGCACGCCCGGCGGCCCCCAGGGGGGGCGGGGCGGGCGGGGCCAGGACCATCGTCCCCCGGACCGGGGGTCCGCCCGGAGGCTGGTCCGGCAGGGATCTCGATTCCTGTCGAGCTCGGCGGGGGCGGCTTGATGGGCGACCCTGGTCGGCGGTCAGGCCCTGCGCGCGCGCGGCATCCACACAAGCCCGCCCTCCCCCCCCTGCCCCATCCTCCTTTGCCCCTTTCATTCCCCCCCCCCTCTTTCTCCCTCCGCCCCCATGTTGTACGCACCCCCGCCCCGGCCCCCGTCCCTGCCTCTGCTAGCTTGGCCACTCTTTCTCATTCCTTCCCCCGGCTGACCGCCCTCCCCCCCGCCTTCCCGGTTCTCCCCCACGCGCAGCGACTTTTTCAAGGGCATCTTCAGCTCCAAGCCCGAGGAGCCCGCCGAGGCGGCCGAGACCACCACCCCCCCGGCCACCAATGTTTCTACCCCCCCGGCTGCCCAGCAGCAGGCCCAGCAGCCTCCGGCCCAGGAGGTCCAGCACTCCCAGCAGTCCTCGGCCGCGTGCGTCCCCACACATGTCTC